CTGGCAGTGTGTGTGCACTGGGGTGTGTGTGTGCACTGTGTGTACTGGGGGTGTGAACTGGCAGTGTGTGTGCACTGGGGTGTGTGTGTGCACTGAGGGGTGTGCGCTGAGTGTGTTGGGTGTGTGCACTGGGTTTGTGTGTGTGCACCAGGTGTGTGCACTGGGTGTGTATTCGGGGGGTGTGCACTGGCAGTGTGTGTGCACACCAGTGTGTACACTTGTGCACGTGCTAGTGTAAGTCTGTGTCCATCTGGGTGTGTCCCCTGTGCTCACAGTTGGAACACCTCCCCTGTCAGTCCTCTCCCCAGAATCGTGTTCATTTCAACTGCCCCCACCCCAGGTGCCCCCGAACCTTACCAGGCTGAGTCCCCTGGCTCACAGCCACTCCTGGTGGCCCAGCAGCCCCGTCACACTGTGCAGCGAAGCCTCAAGTCTCAGGTGACTGCCGCCCCGGGTCCCAGCCTGCACTCTCAGCGCTTCACTGCCTGCTCCCTGCTAGGGCTCTCCCATCCCCAAGCCCTGGCTCAGACCCCAGTCTCAGGTCTCAAAAGTGACTTTATTTCTCTGTAGAAGATGCCCTCCCAGCCAGGCTGCTGGTTCGAAGCTGGCTCAGACTCACTGCCCCTCAGAGACCCCTGCCCTCTCCCTGGGGCCCCTGCCTGGACACCTGGTCTCCTGGAGCTGTCTTGCTTTCGGGGACTCAGAGCTGGTGGAGAGACAGGAAGCCTCTCGACTCGGGGAGGGGCAAGAGCCACAGACTGTGGGGCCAGCCCAGGCTGCCCCACCCCAGCCAGGCCAGGCTGGGGAGGGGCAGGGACAGGCTCAGGGGGACGCGCTCAGACGCCCTGCAGGAGGGGGGTCCTCAGGGCCCAGCCCAGAGGAGGGCGGGCCCCAGGCTGAGCAGGAGGCCCCCAGCCAGGGCCCAGGGGCTGCCCCCGGCCCCCGATGCCCCATTGCACAAATCCTTCTCACAGCAGTCCACGTCCACTTCCAAGACCCCCGTGTTGATGAAGCCCATCAGATAGTCTGAGAAAAAGTGCCGCTTCACGAAGTCACAGGACGAGGCGCACATCTTGTTCACAGAGTGGTCCTTCCTGCCTAGGAGGGAAAGGGGGCTGGGCCAGAGGCTCCGCCTGGGCCCCCTGCCACGTTCCCAGCACCCAACCGGGTCCCTCCAGGCCAGCCAAGGAGCCTGGACACCCCCGCCACCCCCAACTATACAGAAAGGGCCACTGAGGGGCAAGGGAGGGACAGGCACCTGCCCAGTGTCACCGAGCGCAGCCGCATCTTGCCCCAAGGCAGAGGGCCCAGGGACACCCCATTCCAACTCACTGCTGCTGGGGTCGGTGATGCGCACGCTGGCACAGACGGTGTCCGTGGGCTGGCACTGCTTCGGGGTGCAGTGGCTGGAGTTGGTGGTCAGCGTGCAGTCCTGGCACCACAGGCCGTGAGCTGGGTGGGCACAGGGGACATGAGCAGAGGGGCCCCCCAGGCCGGCCACCCCCACCCACTGGGGCTGCCTGCTGCAGCAGCTCCACAGGACCATGCAGGTGTCAGAGGCCTGGGCACGAGCTGGCCCGACGGACTGGGCTGCACAGGCACCAAGGAGCAGCCGGGAGAGCCTGTGTCCGCCTGGAGCTGGGGGAGGGCCCCCGGGACACTCGGAGCCCTGCCCTGCATCTCGAGCATCCCTCCCACCTCTGGCTCCTCCTGCACACGCTCCACTCCGCAACGCACACCCCAGGGTTCAGGGCTTCCCAGCCGAGAAGGAGCATACAGGATTTGGGGGAGGCACATGTAGGCCTTCGAGAAAGTGACCCAGCCCACAGGCGGCCACCAGGGGAATGAGACCGCTGTCCTGGCCCAGAGCCACAGGTGTCCGGCCCCGAGGAAAGCGCGGTGCCCTCAGGCGCCAGGAGGGACCGCGTGGGGAGCAGAGGGGGGCGGCCAGGGAAAGGCCGGACGGGGGGCATGGGGTCACTGAGCCTCGGCTTGGATCGGAAGTACGATGGGGGATGGGGGCGGTTCTCGTTGCTGCCTCTCTCCCGAGAGGACTCAGCCCCCCACCCCACCCCCGGGCGCCCCCACTCACCGGGCGCCGAGCACAGCAGGGTGACCAGCAGCGCCAGGCCAAGGCCCTTCATGGCGGCAGGCAGCATGCTAGGAGGGCCTGGGGGAGGGGCGGCGGGCTGGGGTCCTCGGGGGCGCAGGCCTGGGGGAGACGTGGCGTCAGGAGACAGCCGGGGTCCCCCCCAGGCTCACGACCCCGCCAGGCTCTTCCTCTCTTCCCTGGAATTCAGAGGGGGTCTGCCTGCAGCTACCCGAGCCCCACCCCCACCCGTTCCCTGGCAGCCACCATCCCAGCATCCCTCCAGGAGAGAAGGTCTGCCCCTCGGGCGGTGCCCCACGCCATGCCCCCACCTCGGCCATGCCCCTACTCCGGCCTCGGCGCCCGGGTGCTGGACGCGGGGGCTCCCTGCTCCTGGGGGGCTGTGGGTGCGTCGAGAGGAGAGGGCAGGAGCAGGTGCGCGCGAGCCCGACCTGCCGATGGGGGAGCGGCGCGCCACGTCGCACCTCACCCCTAGGCTGGGGGCCGGGAGCCCTGGGTGTCCCCCACCCCCACCTTCGTCTGGGCGCTCACCGCGGGTCGGGGCGTGGAGCGCGGGCCTCGGGCTCGGGGCGCACTCACATCCCTCGGGGTATCCGCACTCGGGGGCTCGAGCAGCGGCTCGTGAGCTTGCCCTTCGGTCTCCCTGCGGACCGGAACCCGGTGCAGCCTCGTCTTTCGGGGGACGCAGCCGCAGATGCGGACCCCGAGCGAGGGGCGGGGCTCGGGGAGGGGGCGCAGGCCCCGGCGGTCGCTGTCCCGGTGCCTCTTGCCCCTCGCCACCGGGCCCGTCCTTGTCCACCCCCCACCCCCACCGCGGCCTCCGCTCCCCCTCCCGCCACGCCGCCCCCTACCCCGGAGCGCAGGATCCTTCCCCCTGCTCGGCTGAGATCCCCTCGGAATTTCTCGGAAGAACGTTTACTGCGAAAGGCAGCGAAACCCGAAACGCACAAAGACGCAGAGAGGGAGGGAGGTACTAGGCGCTGGGGCTCCCGCAGGTCCCCTGCTGTGGGGCCCCTCCCCTCCCAGCCTCATCCCCTCCCACAATCACCCATGAAGACCCCCACCCACTAGCCGCTTCAGCCCAGGGGACCTCTGCCACCAACCATGCCCACAGCCAGAGGCAAGACGCAAATCCTGGCCAGGGCATCCGAGGCCCTCTGCCACCTGCCCTGCCAGCTGCTCAGCTTCATTTCTCGCCCTCCCTCCACACACACACACACACACACACACACACACGCACACACACGCAAAGCACTCACTCACTCACACACACACTCACTCACCCAAGCTTTCAATGTGTTGCGTCTTCGGACTTGCTGTTCCCTGTGCCTGGAATCAAGAACCAGGCTAGGTATGGTAAACTGCCCTGAAACGCTGGCGATTGTTTCTTTCCTTCCTTCCTTCATTTCTCCTAGTCCCCACTGTGGCGCCAGCACCTACCCTGGCTCCTTCTCACAATGAGAAGATAGACACTGTCTCTGCCCCCGCCCCCGGAATCTCACATTAGCAAGTGCTTACCAATAACACATCACTGCAAGATGTCACAATAATAGCTAGCATTTATTGCGCACCTGTTATGTCATGTACTGTCCTAAACGTTCCTTATATTATCTCATTCCAGTTTCACAACAACCCCACTGTGCAGGTGGTATTATTTCCGTCTTACAAATGAGAAAACCATGGTACGGAGAGGTTGAGTGCCCTGCCCAAGGTCACACAGTGAGCATCAGGTGGCAGAGCCTATGTTGGAAGCCAGCCTCACCACTCCGCCATGCTGCTTTCCTGATGGAGGAAGAAAAGAGGGACAAGAGAGCATAGCGGGATCCAGTTTGGTTGAGGGGTGGGAAAGCTGCTCTGAGGAGCATTGAGGGTGCAGAGGGCAAAATCTGGGTAGTGGCTCAAAAGCATTCTCTTCAAAACATTGAAGAGCTCTCAAGAAAATAAAAGAAATCTCCAAGCCCATAATGCATAAGTAAAGAAGGGAACACAAAGGATTAGGCGATGGAAAAGTCGAAGTACTCCTGGACAGTGTCGGGCCAGCCCTCAGTCTCAGGGCTTGAGTCTTGGTGTGGGTGCTCCCAGAAGCAGAACCTGAGACAAGGATTCCAGTGCAAGCTGTGTATTTGGGGGAGCAGAGAAGTGATTTAGGGAAGGCAAGGAGCCAGCTGCCATAGTGGGGAACTGGAGCCTAATCACACAGAGAAACTCTGGGAAATGGTGTGAACCATTTATTTCATGTGCCCAAGGCTCACAGTGCATGTCATGTCAAACACGAGTCTCAGAATGACCAAAGGGGTGAGGGAACTAGGATATCCTTACAGCAAGTCCCAAGATTCATTGATTAAGGGCTGCTCTGGGGAGTGTCAATTCTTCAACACTTGCAGCTCACCACTTGCACAAGGCAGGCAGAGTAGACTTTCTCAGGCACAGAGGTGAAGACACTTCACCATTGGAAGTCATGCCGGAGCACAGGGTAGGGGTTGAGGATTTGGGGGAAGCACTGACAGCTGCAATGTTGGAGCAGGGGGCACTGAGCCACAGTAAGCTGAACCCTCCAAAGGAACCAGAGTGGTCCCAAGTTGGTAGCACCCCTAAGTACAAGCAGGAGCAAAGGTGAATCTTCTCTGGAGGAAAGCAACTCCAACTTAGGGCCCTGGGGTTCTCACAGATTGAGCTGAATTAAATGTAAGTTCAAAATCAAAAATCACCAAACACACAAAGGAAAGAAGACTTCGAAGTGAGACTCAGCAGAAACAATGGCGTGCGATTGGAGCTATCAAAAATAGAATATAAAGTTGATGTTTACGATACATTCAAAGAAGGAACAAGACACTATCAGAAATGACTACACTTATCAGAAAGACATACATGGAACTCTTATCAATGAAAACTCTTTTGAATGAAACTAAAAACTCAAAAGAAACCTCGGAAGAATTGTGCTAAATGAAAGAAACCAGTCACAAAAGACCACATATTGTATGGTTTCATTTATTTGGAATGTTCAGAATCGGCAAATTCATAGAGACAAAATGTAGAGTATTGGTTGCCAGGGGCTGGGGGAAGGAGATAGTAACTGCTAAGGGGTGTGGAGTTTCTTTTGGGGGTGATGAATATGCTCTAAAAAAATGATAGTGATGATAGTTCACAACCCTATGAATATCTAAAAACCACTGAATTGTACACTTTAAAGTGTTAAATTTTATAGTATGTGAATTATACCTCGATAAAGCCGTTATGTTTTAAAAAGCTCAGCCTGTGGGTTAAACAGCAAACTAGACACAGCTGAAAAAGGAATTTGTGAACTGGAGAATACGTTTAAAGAAATTATCCAGAATATAGCACAAGAGACAAGGAGACGGAAAATAGGAAATAGAAATTAAGAAGCAGAAAAAATAATAGGCAGAGATCTAATAAAAATCTGATTGAAGTCCCAGAAGGAAAAAATATCAATGTATGAAGAGATACTGCCTGAGATTATTTGAGAACTGGTGAAAGATATGTAATCACAGAAAGGCACAAAATATACTAAGTAGGATAAATAAAAAGAAATGTCACATCTAGATATATCATAGTGAAACTGCAGACTACTAAAGACAAAAGAAGATAGTTAAAACAACCAAACAGAAGGACAGATTAACTATAAAGAAATAACAATTAGATTGACAGCAGAATTTCAACCACAACAATGACAGCCAAAAGACAACAAAATAGTATCTTTAAAGTGCTCAGAGAAAACAACTGTTGATTAAGAATTTTATACATCATTTTTCAAAAATGAGTACAAAGTAAATTTTTCAGACACTTAGAAGTTTAGATAAATACAATTTTTTCAGATAAATAAAATTTTAGAGAAGTTGCGAGAGTTTGCCACTAACAGCCCTCCATTAAAGGAACTTCTAAAGGAAGCACTTTAAGAGGAAAAAATATTCCAGAAGGAAGGCCTAGAATTCAAGAAAGAGTGGTGAGTGAAGAAACTGGCCTTATAAGAAGGGAAATCTAAATTAACATCTTATACAGAAAATAAAAATGAATATGTGAAGTTTAAAAAGACAGAACTAAAGCACTGGACCACAATAGCATTTAAGACAGGAGAGAGTGATCAGAGTTAAAGGGTTCTGAGGCTCTTGCATCGTTTAGGAGGTGGCTGTGATAATGGTTAACTTTAGACTGTGTTTAGAGGTTAAGTACACAGAGTAAAGTTTCAAGGGCAAGCACTAGAAAGGCACAGGGAAAAGCACTGCACAGGGGAACTTCAGCACATGCAAAGGCCAGAGATAGGCAAGATCTCAACATGTTCAAGAAACAGAAAGAAGATCAATGTGCCTGGCCCTTGGTGAGTCAGGGGGACGGGGAGTGAGATGAGGTACAAAAAAGGACAATTATCAGACCCCATGCTGCTTTTAAATCATATTACAGATAGTAGACTGTGTCCTGGGAACTTTAGTGTGCAAATTGGGAAGGCTTTGGGCTGCAAGTAACAAAATGCCCATCCAGGAGTGACTTAAACAAGAGGAATTTGTTCTGTTCTCATAATAGCCAGAGCAGAGGTGAGTGGTTGCTCGGTGCGGGGTGGGGGGTGGCTTGTAGCTTCCTAAAGTCAGGACTCTGGGTCCACTTTTCTTTGATTCTCTTGGCCTTGCCCTCATCATCAAAAGATGGCTGCAGGATCTGCAAGCGAAGCATCCTCACATGATTGTGTCCAAGGCCAGCAGTAGGGGAGGCATGAGCTGGGGCTTCTCCTGGTGGGCATCTCACTATCCGCCAAAAGGATTCTCTCTCCTGCAGCCAACCTTCCTTACCTCTCATTGGCCAGATCTACGTCACGTGACCACCTCTGGCTGCAGGAGGAGGGAAAGTTGGTGTCTAGTTTTTCTGGCTTCCGTTAAGGGAGGTTGGCAAAGAAAAAGGAGCATTCTTGAGAATGGCTCTGGGGTAAGTGATCAGTGACGTTTGCAGCAGTGGGAAACTTATGAAGTGTTGAAGGGATGGAGGGGCTCCACTGATTCACATTTCAGAAGATACCTCTGTCTGCTGAGTGGAGAATGGACTGGAAGGTTCTAGAATGGAATGGGGAGGCCAGGGAGATGGCAGAGGAAATGGCGAAAGTGGATGGATTCACAAGACTTGGTGGTGTCTGCTCTGGCGCCTGCTCCCAGTTTCCTGGATCAGGAAACTGATGTTCCTACAGACAGGAGCAGCTGACTTGAGAGGCACATAAAGGATTTTGTTAAGTCCAAGATCCTTGGAAGGCATCCAACATGAGATGTTCAGTCCATCGGGAGCTCAGAAGAGACTTGTGGTCTGGAGACATGAATGTGGACATGGTCGGCACAAAGAAAAGAACAGGTGTGACTGCTAAGGAGAAAGTGGAGAGACGGCAAGGGGTCCCCAGGCCCACCCCTGGGGAGTGCTGCCTGTGGAGTCCAGCCCTGAGCACAGAGGACTCAGGTTCTGCTTGCTATGGGTGTAGCACAAACCCAGCCTTGATGCTGGTGCTTGGTGGGAGATTTCACCTGCAGCAACTCTGAGTCCGGGAGCTGTCTGTCTGTCTGTGGTTCTCTCTGTCATCCACCTGAGTTGGCTGCACCCATCTGGGCTGGAGTCCAGTGAGGGTCCGCACAAGCAGACTCCTTCCTGCCTCGGGTTCCACTGTCCTGCCCCCCTCCCCCCCCAAGCCACCTCCCTCCCCGGACTCAGACATTTCTACCCCCAGCACCTAGTGCAGCCGGGATGCCGAGCCCTTCTGAGTTAACACCACTACCCGTACCCCCGCGGCTGGTGTGACGGCAACCCCCCACTCTGCGACTGGGGTCAAGGCAACCCCCCAACCCTGGGACTGGGGTCAAGGCAACCCCCCACCCCTGGGACTGGTCGTCAAGGCAACCCCCCAACCCTGAGGCTGGGGTCAAGGCAACCCCCCAACCCTGGGA